AAGTTCTTTATCTCTATTCAGGAGTTGTACGTCTTCTGCCGCATCTGTGAAACTGTGGCAGGCTGACTTGTTAGCCTGGTACTCTTGCATCAGAATCTCAGATGAGAGACATTGAAACCCTGTATTTCTGACAGTTCATCACGATGCAGCAGGCCAACTCAGCTTTGTGGGAATCTTTCCCGAAAGCTAAGCCCCTGACGAGCTGGCTTCTCTCAGGACCTAGCACTTCCCTCCTCTTGGAAGCCGATCCCCTCTTTCACTCCAGCCACCAGGAAACTCATTGTCAAGTTTCCCTGTGCTCCTACCTTAGGATCACCCTAGTTGGAACCTTCTACATCATTTCTATATTCCCTCTCCTGGTTTTTAAAAAATTGAGATATAATTCACATGCCATAAAATTCAACCTGTCAAAGTGTACAATTCAGTAGTTTTTAGTTATTCACAGATTGTGCAACCATCATCACTAATTTCAGAACATTTTTACCACAAAAAGAAACCCTGTATCCATTAGCCATCACTTCCCTTTCCTCTTTCTCCCATCTTCCAGGAAACCACTAGTCTCTTTTTTGTACTTACGAATTTGCCTATTCTAGACATTTCATATAAATGAAATCACACAATACAATATGTGCCTTTTATGTCGGGCTTATTTCACTTAGCATAAGGTCTTCAAGGTTCATCCATATTGTGGCTTGAATCAGAATTTCATTTTTATGGCTAAATAATATTCCACTGTATGGGTATATCACAATTTGTTTATCCATTCATCAGCTGATGGGTTATTTCCCATTTGGGGCTATTATAAATAATGCTGCTATGAACATTTGTGTACAAGTTTTTGTGTGGATGTATGTGTTTAGTTTTCTTGGGTGTCCACATGGGAGTAGAACTACTGGGTCAGCTGGTACCTTTTGAGGATCTACCTAACTATACTCCAAAATGGCTGCATTACTTTACATTCCCAGCAATGCAAAATTCCAATTGCTCCACATCCTCATCCGTACTTGTTATTGCCTATCTTTTTTACTGTAGGCATCATAGTATGTGTGAAGTGGTATTATATTGTTTCGCTCCTTTTTTATCTTGTCATTCATATTTTTTCATTTCATTCTATGTATTTCTGCTCTGAGTCCTGAATACCACATGGAGTGGGAGAGTCGGGGGTTTTAGGGACAGAGAGTCCTGGTTTGAATCCCCCCTCTGCTTCTATTAGCTGTATGACTTTGAGCAAGTTATTTAACACTCTGAGACTCTGTTTCCCCACTTATTATATGTGAGTTACAGTAGTGAGCTTTCTTGCTCGTTGCTGTTATTGTAAGATAAATCTGTAATAAAGCCCAGGTGTGGGCTGGCACAAAGTGAGTCCTCAGTGAATCTCACCAGTGGCACCCAGAGTTGGAAGGGGAGACCTAGGCTGGGCACTGTTTAGGTTTTGATCTATTATCTGTTTTACTCCAGCAACTTTGTACAATAGAAGCATTTCTGTGCCAACCATTAGCCTCTTTGTACCTCCATTTCCCCCCTGTGGCATGGAGGCATATCCACTGCAGGAGCGTGGTGGGGCCCGATGTGAGCGCATGAGAAATGAGACTGTGCACCCCGATGCCAAGTATTGGTGAATCTGTAGGGTAGACTCTAACATCTTACAGGTCTTGTCTCTTGTTGCTGCCTAAGGGAGTTTCTCTTCCCTCAGACAAGGGACTCTCCTTTCCCTTGCAGAATCTGTCCCTGCCACACTCCCGCCCCACAATAGAAGGCACAAGGCGCTCAGGACCTGTGGGCTCATCCAAATGGCTGGTTCCCATCCATCTGGTGTGTCAGACACAATGGCATCCCTCACTCTGAGTTCAGACCTGCCTGCTGGTGCTATAGAACAGCCCCCCACTCTATCCCAGGCCGTGAGAACGAGCACTGCACAGGGAGTCAGGATGCCAGGCCCTGCCTCAGCTGGGACTCTGGGCCCAGCCTGTGAGTTCCTAAGGGGAAAGCTGGACCTACTAGCCCCTGGCATCCTGCATGGGGCTGGGCACAGAGGCCACTGACCCAGCCTAGGCCATCTCCACAGACCAACAACTGCGTCTTGCACAGGCCCTGGCCTCCCGTGCAGCTACTATAAGACAGGCCAGCCACCGGGCAGAGGGAACAGCAAGACACCTCCCCATGCCAGGACCAGAGCATTGGCCCTAATTCAAGACAAGTCAATAGTCAGAGAGAAAGAGTCTGGGCTGCCAGATGCCCACCCTACACTAAAATTGAAACCCATTTCAGAGATAAATGGGGAAATGGCCCCAGGGCAGGAGTGGGTGGGGTGGGTGTTGGACCTACTTTCCCGAGAGTGTCCACTGGCCCCAGGTCCTCTGCTGTAACAGGCACTTGTCACCAGGCTCTGCAGACTCGATCTTCCGCTGGAGAACCCAGAAAGCCTGGGCTTGGAGCTCTGGGTCTGGAGCCTGACAAATTGTGATTCCAGCTGCCACACTGGACAGGGTGCTTTAATTGGTCTGAGCCTCGGCTTCCTCAACTACAGATGGGAACAACAACGATCCTGCCTGCACTCAAGTCTGTGTGAAACACTTGACACATCAGAGGTGCTCAATACTGAGACCCGTTGTTAGTATTGCTTAACCTTCTCTTTCAGCCCAGTAGTGGTGAAGTGATTTATCTATTTCCTCTTTCATTCATTTATTCATTCAGCCAACCAGTCAGCACACGCCCACTAGGTAAGCCACAACAGTTAAGAACAAGGTTTTTGGAGTTAGGTAAGAGTTGAAACTCCAGCACTGCTGCTAGGTGGCTATTTCCCCGCACTGAGCCAACGTTTTCTTGCCTATAAAATAAGAACAATAATAGCATCTCCAGAGGGCACAGAGATGTTATAAAAAGTCAGTGGAACAATGATGTGAAAGCAGCCGGCAGGGGCAAAGTGGGTGGCCGGTGGGTGGCACAGAGGAGCCAGGCAAGCTTCTGGCCCTGCAGCCAGGGCCACGCTCTCAGCAGTCAGGTCTCAGCAGTCAGGTCTCCAGGGACAGCCACAGGATGAGGCAAGGGCAGGAGAGAAGAGTCTTAGGCTCAGAGACAATTGCTGGGCTTCCGGACATGCCCCCCTCCCTTTCTGGTAAACTAAAAAATAGTAAGGAAATGCAAAAAAAGATTGTAAGAATTTTAGAGGAGAAAAATCCCAGCCAAACAAGAGTCTTGGGCAGTGTGGAGTTGCCCCCACTCAGGCGGGCCTGGGGAACCTGCACAGGCGCACACATGCACACACACTCACAGCTGCACATGCTCACCCATGCACACACGCCCACGAGCTTGCACACACGTGCAGATGCACCAGAGGCACAGCCCTCGAGAGTTTGCAAAAAGCCTTGTCATTTTTCATCTCATTTGATACTGAGAGGCAGAGGGACTGTCACTTAATTGGCTTAGGATCCATTCTGGAGCTGGCAAGATATGTGAATCCTAAAATCCCCTCTTCAAGAGCCCAGGGCTGAATGCACGGGATGTGCTGCCTCTTTTCTCCCTGGCAGTATCAGCAGAGCTGAGTGGCAATAGAAACTCCAGAAAAGTTATTTTTTTTTTTTTTTTATGAGACAATCTCCCTCTGTCACCCTGGGCAGAGTGCAGTGGCATTATCATAACTCACTACAGCCTCAAACTCCTGGCTCAAGCAATCCTTCTGCCTCAGCCTCCCAAGTAGCTGGGACTACAGGCATGCGCCACCATGCCCGGCTAATTTTATATATATATATATATATATAATATATTTGCTCAGGCTGGTCTCGAACTCCTGACCTCAAGCAATCCTCTAGCCTTGGCCACCCAGAGTGTTAAGATTACAGGTGTGAGCCACTGCACACAGCCTCCAAAAAGTTTTAACCCAGCTCCCCCAGATACATTCTTTTTTTTTTGTTTTTTTTTGAAACAGGGTCTTGCTCTGTCACTCAGGCTAGAGTGCAGTGGTGTCATCATAGCTCACTGCAACCTCAAACTCCTGGGCTCATGTGATCGTCTTACCTCAGCTTTCCCAGTAGCTGGGACTACAGGCACATGCCACCATGCCTGGCTAATTTTTTTAATTTTTTTCCAGGGGCAGGGTATCACTATGTTGCTCAGGCTGGTCTTGAACTTCTGCCCAAGCCTCTCAGAGTTCTGGGATTACAGGCATGAGCCGCCACACCTGGCCCAGATACATGCTTTCACTCTGCTTCACTCCCCTTAACCAAAGTCACAACTGGACTCGGGGACTCAATTTCCACATCAGTCACCTGGGATCAGCTCCAGGCTACCTTGAGATTTCACTGGGTGACAGAAGTAAGAAGCTAGGCAGCGGGTGGATTGCTCGAGGTCAGGAGTTCAAAACCAACCTGAGCAAGAGCAAGACCCCGTCTCTACTATAAATAGAAAGAAATTAATAGGACAACTAAAATACATATAGAAAAAAAAGAAGTAAGGAACTTCCCAAAGGCCTCCTCTGTGGACTCCCATTTGGTCACTTAATCCTTTTTACCCACTCTCCCCACCAAGGTTTCCGGGGAGCTCTGAGGGCAGGGCCCAGCCTCCTCCCTAGAGACCCTCACCAGCATACTACACTTCACAGTTTACAACACTCAAGGAGAGTTCATTGTCACTCTCATTTTAGAGAGTAAGAAATTGAGACCTAGAGAGGAAAAGTGTCCTGTGCCATTTGCAACTCAAACTCAGACCTATGTGGCTCTGAATCCTGCCTCCACTATTCCGCTTCTCCGGCACAACCCAGCCCCGATGTCTCCAGCTCCTCCCCTCCTGTCCTGCGTGCCTCACCCCTCCACGCTGTGCAGCCCAAGGGCTCTAGGCACAACCAGGCAGAGGAAGGAAGGAGGACCCCTAAGTCTGCCCCACTCCCACTCCCACTCCAGCCCGCGATGAGCTGCGGTGGCCACAAGTGGACAGCGTGTGCTTAAGAAGCTCCTAGAGGAGCTGGGGGCACAGACCCTCCCAGAGCATTGACCCAGAAAACTCACCCGGGACTTAGCGAGCGGCCCACTTGCAGTCCGTGACGTGCTGGGGCAATTTCCTACTCCTGGAGCAGCCCCTGCTGCTAGCCAGCTCCTGTGCTACCTTCACATGCAACGTCTCTCAGAAGTCTGGAGAGGCAGCAGATGAGGAAACTGAGACACCCAAGGAGGGGAAGTGACTTGCCACAGAGCTGGCCAGGACTCGAATCCTGAGAACCTTCAAGCTCAAGTCCCCAACGCCAAGGCTGACGGAGCCACCACCTTGCTGCAAGGAAGTCACTTCACCCTCCGAGTCTGCTCACCCAAAGAATGGCATCATCAGTTGAGCCCCAAGGGCTGATGGGAGGATGGAGCGAGATAACATTTAAGGACCAGGGCCTGGCGCAGGAAGGCACTCATCAGATGACCACTTTTCCTCCTCCTCCCCACGCCCACCCCAGCCCTCTCCTGGCCTCTCTCGGGTCTGGAGACGAGCCTGTTCCTGATCATTGCTGCCACAGGGAACAGTTAACTTGGTTTTCTCAGCAGTGCCTGGAAGGTCCATTAAAGGAAGCTGAGACCCCACCAAGCCCATGGGTCCAGATACCCCCACCCCAGGGACTGAGGATGGCTCCTCCAATAGCAGGTGAGGCTGAGCCCGGGTACCCTTCCCCTCCCCAGCTCCGATCCCTCCTTGAGCTTGGGCATTATGGGGAGAAGGCGGCCAGGGTGGCTCTGCCTGGGCCCACGGTGGGCCTGGGCCAGCCCCTCCTCATCTGTACGGTTATTCACTCTCACTCTCCCTCCTCTTCTTTCTCTTCCTCTTCTGCTTTACAAATACTCATCGGGCACATACTTTGTTCAGGTAATATTCAAGTCACTCAGCGGCACAAAAGAAAGTCCCTGCCCTGAGATGCCTATATTCTAGCATGGGAGACTGGTTTATTTTAGTTAATGAGTAAATATATAGCAGGGCAGGTGGTGATAAGAGCTATAAGGAAGAGTAAAGAAGGATAAAAGGCAGAGATTCAGGGCTGCAACCTTGGATAGGCCGGACAGGTACCACCTGGGCTGGAGAGATCCCCTTGTCCCCACACCACCTCCCAGCTCTCTAGAGAAGCCCACCCAGCCCGGAGGGTACCCTGCCCCAGGCCCTGGGTTCCCACTGTGTGCCAGGCTCTGTCTCAGCAGATCTCAGCAGCAGGCCAGGGCCCCAGGCCAGGGCTTCCTGGGCACAGGCTGCTGCTTAGGACTGCCAGGGCTTTGGCATGGGGCGTCCCAAGCTTGCCTTCCACTCTTGGCCCTGAGGGAAGAGGGGAAGCCCTCTGCAGCCCCCAACCAACCCCAGGGCCTCTTGTAGAGAGGAGAGCACTGGGCCCAGAGAGGGGCAGGGCTTTCCTGGGTCATGCACAAGGCAGAGGTGCTCTTGCTCCCCTCCTGCCCTCTCCTCTGGCAAATGCTCAAGGCAGATTCAGGGCTGAGCCTCCCAGCAGAGCGCTGGCCTGTGAGGGGTGGCTGTGCCCGCAGTCAGTTCCTGGTAAAGGCATGTGAGGTGCTCCTGCAAGGGGCCCACCTGGCAGTCCCACTCCATCCTCTTGGCTTTGACAGGCTGAATTCTCATGCCCTAGGCCCCAGGAGGCTGAAAGCACTTTGCCTTTAACCCAGGCTCATGAAAGTTTTGGTCAACTCTGCCTCAACTTGCTGTGTGACCTCAGGCAGGTTCCAGGCCCTCTCTGGGCCTCAGTTCCTTCATCTGTCAGAGGAAATGAGGCACCTGCATCTTAGGGGTGTCATGAAGAATGAGCAAGACACTGGCAAGAAGGCAGTTTGAGAACTTTTAGGCGCTACCCAGATGACAGGTGTTTTTATGTGCTCATCTGAAATGAGCCTCCTCATACTGTGGACTCCTATGGTAGCCCCGGAGCAGCTCCAAATCCTTGATGGGAAATAAGCAGAAATTCCACAGAACCAGTTCTTCGGAAAAGGCGAGGCCACCTCTGCTCCCAACCAGCCAACAGGAAGGGCCCCTCCTCTGCCTGTGTGGTGAGGTGAGGCGGGAGGGACAGGAAAGGGGCAAGGCTGAGAGGCCTGGGAAAGTTTGCTCTGGGAGGAGGCTGCGAAGCCCTGAGGTAACTGTGAGAGTCACCCATCAGGTCCGGGACAGTAACGGTACTTGAATGCTGGGTACACACGTGTCTGCCTGGGGGCTCGTCAGCCATGTGTGGGCCCGACCTGAAAGACGCACATGTATTCACAGGGATACACACGTTTGGGTTGCACCAAAGTGTGTATGTGCACATGTGTGTCCATGTGAGTGGCTCTGGAATGTGTAGGTTTGCTCACATGCATGTTTGCCCATGCCTGCGTCTCTGCATGTGCTGCACACACGCCACTCCTGGGGAGCCCTGCACACCCCCAGTCCAGACGCCGTGGGAGATTTGTGGGGTTCCCAGGCTCTGCAGGCTCTTGTTTCCCTGGGAACAAAAGCAGTTACATAAGAGGAGGAGGAAGCCTTAGAGGATTAACTCGGGCTCAGGCTCTCCCAGCGCAGCCCAAGCTGTAGGGGAGCGGGGGAGCGCCCAGGCTCGAAGCCCCTCAGATCCTGTGTTGCCTGTGGGCACTGACCGTCAACAGCCACCCTCCCGCCCTCAGTCTCCAGCAGGAGCCCCCTGGCTCCTGTGCAATGAGTCAAGTGCTTTGCAGTTTATCCCCACACGCCTTGTGGAGGATGCTCCCACACACTGGCTGCGCTGACCTGAGAGCCCTCCCTCAGAGGCCCTGTCCCCAGGCAGCCACCGCTAGCTCAGTCTCAGGTCCCCCCGCCTGGCCCTGGGCTGGGCTCACAGTTCAGTGCTGGCCACTCCATTGGGTGGGTCTCACCCCTCCTGAACCCTGGTTTCCCCAGCTGTGGAACGGAGTTATCCATGCCCATGTGAGCTAAGGGCTAAGAAGGGTCTCTGTGGGCTGTGATGAGCCACTGGCAGGTGGGAATGGTTTTGTGCACATTCAAGGCACTCGAGGCCACTGCCCATTGGCCCCGTGCTGCTCCCAAGTGGCATGAGGGAAGCACTACCCTCAGCCCTGTGTCTGAAAGAGGAGACGCCCTGGCCCCAGTCTGTGGGAGGAGACACAGTTCCTCTGGGTTTCGGACAAGATCCTAAAGGGAGTTGACCCGGCTTGGGGCTTGCAGGAAGCATGCTTGATGGTCCCATCTGACAGAACGAGGATGGTCTCTCTTGCTAAGCCTCAGCTTTCCTTCTCTGCAACCTGAGTGCCTCATTCTGTCCAGGGCCTGGGGTCATCCACGATAGGAAAGCACAGAGGGTCTCCAGAGACCTGGCAGAGGAGTAAGGAGCATGTGCCTGTGGGTGCAATCCCACACTGGTACATGTGCAGCACACCCAGACCCCGACGCAGCTCCATGTAACTCACGCAGGTCCACACGTGTGAGTATGCAAGTACACGCGGGCATCTGCCACACGGAGCACCCGCAGCAGGCACACGTGCACTCACATGTGCGCACCCACGTCCAGCCCAGCAAACGCAGGGCTCTAGCTTAGCTCAGCAGCAAGTTGCACTCAAAGAACTTTCAGAACCAGGAGAGGTAGAAGGGGAAGAACCGAGTCCTCAATTGCCGAGGCCCTTCCTCTGCTCCCTGCCAGAGAGGCTCAGGGGTTTCCCCGAGGACGCAGACGGCCTGTCTGGCTCCCCATCTCTGGCCATCCACACAAGTCCTGGCCAAAATACTCAGGTTGCTGTGGGAGTACAGCCCTGACTTGCCCAGTGGGCCACCAGTCCCGCTAGTCACCAACGCAAAGTGAGGCTTCCAGCTGATCTCTGAATTGTGCAGCTCTCTGCTCCCCAGCCTACGCTGAGCTCACACAACCCCGTGCATTAACAGCGCTGCTCCTGCTGGCGCCACAGGAACCTTCTCTACAACCTATGGTGCAACAGAAAGTCTCTCAGACAGAAGGAGTTTGCCTGTGGCGTCTCTTCAGCTGTGTTTCTCACCCTCTCTCTTCTTCCTCTCGATGGCATTTCAGGTACCCAGTGACCCGACAATCCCCTCATCCTACAACACAGGATCTGAGCCTCTCTGTCTCCCAAAGCCACCCTTCCTGACAGCCATGAGGCACTCTGATCACCTCCACTGGTCTGATGAGTAGGGGCCTGTGGGGTCACTGTCATCCATCCCACAGAACACGTGGCCATTTTACCAGGGTCTTTCCTCCACCCCAGGCTGGCTGTGGGGGGAAGGGACCTTTCCTGGGGCTTCTTAAATAATTCTGCCTAAGTGACTTCTAGTAGATCTTCCCTGGTCGTATAAGCGCGAAAGCGTCAGACTGCCAAAGCCAGGGTCAGAATCCTCAAACATCTGAGCTGGAATTAGGGAATGTTACAGTTGGCGTGTAGAAAGCTGGAGTTTGGATTGTAGCCTTCCAGAATGTTTGATTAATTATAGACTCTTAATGCTAGGACTGTGGAATCATAAACAATTATAGCCAGAATTATGGATTAAGGGATATCAGGGCCAGAAGTGACGCCAACATCATCCAGTCCCACCTCCCCGACAGCTGAGAAGAAAGATCTGGCCTCGTCACTCAGCAAGTCAGGGCCGGGCTGGCCTCCTTCTGCCCAGCAGGGCTCTGTCCTCCAGACATAGCGGAGCAGCTCTCAGGGCCTCTGGGGCGGAAGCACCCCCTGCCTGGGCACAGCGGGCACAGCAGGCACAGTGGGGACAGTGGTCTGTCTCTGCCCCACCAGGCCTGTGCCGGCCCATCACAGCACCCTGCCACCACAGGGATATATTTAGGTGCCCTCCCCAAATATGTTTCCACAGTCCAGACACTGCCTTTTATGTCCCCTCGTCCTCCGAGGCCTCCAGGCACCTTCTTGAAACTGACCCGATGAAGTCACCAGGAGTAGGGACTCTTCCTCTGCCAATGCAAATGTTTGAGCCCCAGAAACAAAGCCCAGCCTGAGGGGTCTCCTGGTCCACTTCTGCCTGCTGCTCAACTCTGACCTCACAGCCTCTCTTCCAGCTCCTAGGGCCGTCTTGGTCCTCGGACCAAACGTCCCGATCCCGCTCTTCTTGGCCTTCCTCATTCCAGGCAGAGGGCACCCCAGTCCTGCCCTGCCAGTTCCCAAACACCCACCCCCGCTCCCCAGTGCACAGGCCAGGATTTTTCTGCTGCTCCGTCCACGCCCATGGCTGCCCCTGCATTTCTCCCCCACCCTCTCTCCCACATTCCATCCCAGGCCTTGCCGGAGACTTGCGTCTTCCCCTCTCTGACTCCATCTTCCCAGGAGTCAGATGGTCACTGTAAATTCAACAAGGATGCAGTCTGGGGACAGGAATGGATCCCCAGACATATTCAGGTGGGGGGCTCTCAGATTCCTGCCCACTCAGCTCATTGAAATATTGGCTCCATGAGAACTGAGACTTCCTGGGGTGGGCAGGGCCCCAGTCCCATGGGGGTCTCCATCACTACCATTAAAGCTTTGTCAACAGCTGCCGAGTGTTTCTATGTGCCAGAGATTGTGCCAAACTCTTTATATCCAGGAACTCAGTCAATGCTCACAATAACCTATAAGGCAAATACTACCACCATCCCCATGTTACAAAGGAAGAAACTGAGGCACAGCAAGGTTTTGCCCAAAGTCCTGCAGGTAAAGTGCCAGAGCTGGGATTCGAACCAAGCTTGGATGACACAACCACCTTAACAGCCCCAGGTGGCAGCCTTCTATGGGAACCCCCTTCTCCGTGGTCCCCTGGATCCTGCAGCCTCTTCTTGCCCAGTGGAAAAGAGGCGAGAACCCCATGGCCAGTCAGGGCTCCTCCCCCCAAGCCCAGCTCCCTTGCCCCTGCACTAGAAGTGACCAGGACAAGCTCCCACCCAGCACATGTCACATACCTAACCACACAGCCACACTCCTCTGTGTGTGTGTGAGGGTGAGCCTGGGACCTGCTGTACCTCCTCCACCCCAAGCAGGGTGAGCTTTTGCTCTCCCAAGCCCTCGGGGTG